GGTCCCACCCCAGAGCCCGCACCCCCCTGCACCCCAACTCCCTGCCCCAGCCCAATGAAAGTGACTGAGAGTGGGGAAGAGCAAGTGACAGAGGGAGGGGAGCTGCAGTGAGTGGGGGTGGGGCCTCATAGAAGGGGCAGGGGCGGGGCCTCGGGGCAGGGGCGGGGCTAGGGTGTTTGGTTGGCGACCCTGCTCCGAGTGCCAGGGCGGGACGCGGCCCTTGATGTGACCGTTTGTTCCCGACGCCCCGGTGGCAGGCGGAGGGCGCGGGACGGGGACGGGCTGGGAGCTGCGGGGGGGTGTCGAAGGGGGATCGGGACGGGACTCGGCCGGGGACCCAGCGCCGCCCTGAGGGCCACTGCGAAGGTCACCAGCAGATCGAAGCGTTTACCCGAGAATGGATCCTGCTTGGGCCCAGCATCGCCTCCCGCCAGCTAACCCTGGGGGGGGGGAGCTCAGTGGTTTGAGCACTGGCCTGCTACACCCAGGGTTGTGAGTTCAATCCTTGAGGGGGCCATTTAGGGATCTGGGGCAAAAATCTGTCTGGGGATTGGTCCTGCTTTGAGCAGGGGGTTGGACTAGATACCTCCTGAGGTCCCTTCCAACCCTGATAGTCTATGATTCTATGAACCCGGCCCTGAGTCCCCTGCCAGCCCAGCCCTGGCCCCCCCAGCTCTGCCGGTGCCCCTCACTCCCGACCCGCAGCCCCTGCCAGCCCAGCCCTGCCGGTGCCCCTCACTCCCGACCCGCAGCCCCTGCTAGCCCGGCCCTGCCCCCCCCAGCTCTGCCGGCGCCCCTCACTCCCGACCCGCAGCCCCTGCTAGCCCGGCCCTGCCCCCCGCCCAGCTCTGCCAGTGCCCCTCACTCCCGACCCGCAGCCCCTGCTAGCCCGGCCCTGCCCCCCCCCAGCTCTGCCGGTGCCCCTCACTCCCGACCCGCAGCCCCCCATGCCAAGGCAGAGTCTGTGTCTTTAATTCCTTTATTGGACGGTTCACACACAGGTCGGGCCCGGAGGGCTGCGCGCGGTGGCCATGCAGGTTGTTGGGGGGGGGCTCTGAGCAGCCCCCCACTTGTTGATGTAGCTTCCCGCTGAGGCTTCAGGGAAGGGGGGGTCGTGGGCTGCTGGGGGAGCCCTGACATGGGGCAAGGGTGGGGGTGGGGCAGGAGACTTGGGGGACAGTCGGGGGGAGCAGCTGTAGGACCCAGCTAATATAGATGGGGGGATTGGGGGGGCTGCAGGAGGGAACATTGGGGGGGATGAAGGGGTGTTTGGGGAGTTAGGGGTTAGTATGCGGAGGGGTGGGGGGTTGGGGGGACAGCACGTGAAGGGGTTGGGGGGCTGGGCATTGGGGGTCAGTGTGGGGAGGGGTCAGGGGCAGCGCAGGGCTCACGGGCAGCGACTCGGGGTGCTGCATATATAATATAGATATTTTTCTATTTCTCACAAATCCCTTAAATAACCGTTATATACAGATACGGGGGGGGGCAACACACACACACCTTAGACTGGCGGGGGGGGTGTCTCAGATTGCACAGTCCGGTGGGAGGGGGTAGGTGTGGGGTGAGGGGTGGGCGGCTGTCAGGAGGAGGTGGAGGGCTGTGGGGGGGTTGGGAGGAGGTGGGGGGTTGGGGGCTGTCGGGGGCCGCCCTGTCACCATTTGGAGCAGTGGTGTGGGGCTGTCAGGAGGAAGTGGGGGGCTGTTGGGGGGGCTGTGAGCGGTTGGGGGGCTGTTGGGAGAGGCTGTGAGGGGTTGGGGGGCTGTCAGGGGGCCACCCCCTCACAGCTCGGAGCACCGGTCTTGTCGGCTGTAGTGGTCGAACTGGCTTTTCCAGTGGCCCATGTACGCGCTCCAGCGGTGAAACTCCAGCCGCCACTGCCGCTCAGCCTCCTCGATGTTATCTGTGGGGGGGAAGAGAGCCCAGGGGGGCGGTTAGCGTCCCTCAGAGCTGGGCCCAGAGCCCCCTGCCCCTCCCCCGAGCAGCCCCCCGCCCCCTTCCCCGAACAATTCCCCCAGGCCCGCTCACAAGACGGGGGACCGAGAGCCGCTCGGGGCCGGATCCAGGCTGGCGTTTGCCCCCCCGAGCTGTGCCTTTACCACACTCCCTCCCCCAGCTCTGGCTGCCGTTGGGTTTTCTTGGCCATCTGTTCAGCTGCCTCCGCCCCACCGCTTGCCCGTGGGCTGCTGGGAACAAGGCCGAAATCCCATCTTGTTCGGCTGCCGTGACGCGGGGTCCCTGGGCTGTCGCTCCGGGATGGCGAGGGGCACGTCGGGGTCTCGGGAATGCCGCCGCCCGCTCCGGCGTTCGAGTCGATTATTTCCACGGCCCTGGGAAAACAGTCCCCGGAGTTCTGCAGCCGGTCTCCGTCCGGGAGGGGTGTTGGGACCTGCTGTCGAGTCCCCATCCTGGCTGGCCCTCCGCAAACAGCTGCAGAAACGTCCATGTTTCGTACTTCTACTGCACCTTGCGCCTCCGGCCGGCCGAGCCGCGTCTCTCGGGCTCTGGCTTTGCCCACGGCGGCTGGAGTCTGTCCCTGAGCCGGTGAGTCCTTGCTCCTGGCCTGGGGGCGGGGTTGGCTGTCTCGTTTTCCGGAGGGGGCCAGTCGCTCCCGGTCCTGCTCGGTCACTGTGGCTCGGGCTGAATCTCTCTTCAGTTGGGGGTCGCAGTGCAGTTTGGATCTGTTCACCCGACCCCCGGGGCCTTGAATTCTCTGCTCTGTCGTAACCCACCTGTCGGCCAGCCCCGGCCCCCTCTTGTGTGACCCCCGTAGCTGTCGGCAGTGACGCCGCAGGGCCCGCCCCGGCGTGGGTCGAGCGTGGCACCGGGGGTGCTGGGGAGCAACGCAGAATCTAACCGGGACCAAGCAGACGCTCTCAGAGGGGCCAGGTCGCGGAGACCCGGCATGTCCTGGACCGGCCGCGGGGCCCGAGGACGCGCCCCACACGTGACCCTCATCCAGTGCCACCCGACCAGGTAGGGCTGAGTCGGGCTCACGTGAGGTGATTGACATCCAAGGACTGAACAGGATAATGCAGGAGCCCGGACGCCTGGGTTCTCTCCCGGGCTCTGGGAGGGCAGTGGGGGAGCTGGTGGGTTAGAGCAGGGGGGGCTGGGAGCCAGGACTCCTGGGTTCTCTCCCCGGCTCTGGGAGGGGAGTGGGGGGCTGGTGGGTTAGATCAGGGGTGGGCTGGGAGCCAGGACTCCTGGGTTCTCTCCCCGGCTCTGGGAGGGGAGT